AGAAATTCAGGGGCGCCTGGGTGGCTCAGTCGGTTAAGTGTCCAACTTCGGCTCAGGTCATGATCTCACAGTTCATGGGTTCGAGCCCTATGTCAAGCTCTGTGCTGAAACTAGCTCAGAGCCTGGAGCCTGCTTCAGATTCTGTGTCTTCCTCTCTCTCTCTCTCTCTCTCTCTCTCTCTCTGATTCTCCCCTGCTCACGCTGTGAGCAGAAATTCAGTAGCTTCTTATATTAGCTTTGTAATGATACTTCTAAATTGCAATAGAATTTCATTGACTGTATTACAAAAAATACCATAACCAGCATTCATATTTGTGTGGGTATCTCTAAATGCTCTTTTAGAATTTAAATGATGAATTTTTTGAAGTGTTATACTAGCATATACTAGAGATTGGGAATCTAGAAACTGAAGTTAAAAAAAACTTCACCCCATCATTCACAAAATCCTCTTTAATAGAAAAACAAAAAAGCAAGGAAGGGAGAGCTGTTGAGAAGAGAGAAATGTGAGGGGGTATTGAGACTTGCAGGCATTAGGCCTTGCTCAGACAGTCCTCAACTCTTGGTCTTCTAGGGGCCAAGGGCAGGCTGCCCCCAAATGGGCCACTTTGGCTTGAAGATTATTTTGAACTAAAGGCAATCAAGACTCTATGGACTTAAATGTTTTGACCCTCTCTTAACTACGTAGAAGAATCTAAATTGGGATTCTTTCCCAGAATAATAGTTATTACCAGAGATAATTTTTATCTGAGTGACCCATCTATATGGCAAGGCAGACATCTAATTACCAAACATCTGCTCTTCTTGTTGTTCTGTGACTTGTATTCATTCTGTTCTAAGTCCCAGACCCCTAGCTGCTTCTCTTTAGTTCAGGATAATAAATATACCTTATTTTGCATGTCTTTTGAGTTTCCATGTCAGTGTGGATTTCCTGTACACAGGAAACTAAATTTTCTCCTGTTAATCTGTCTCATATTAATTTGATCCTTAGTACAGCTAAAAGGACCTAAAAGGGGACAGGAAATTCTTGCTCCCCAATATACCACATTGGCTTTCTGAGTAGTCTTTAGTAAAATACCACCCTACACTGGTGACACCCACATTTGTATCTCTAGTCCACATCTCTTCCTTAAATCCCAGGCTCCTTTAATGGTCTACTTGTCCACTCTGATATCCTATTAGCACCTAAAGTTATTATGTTCAAAGCTGAGCTCCCAACTCTTCCACCCCCAAACTTCTGTATAACCTTCCTCACATCAGGAATGGCAACCTTATACTAGGATTTTCTTAGGCCAAAACTCTGAGGTCATCCTTGAATTCTCCCTTTTTATGCCATGTGTCTTATCACCAAGCCTTATCAGCTCTCCTTTCAAAGTCTATCCAGGATCTGGGGCATCTAGGCAGCTCAGTCAGCTACTTTTTTTTTTTTAAGTTTATTTATTTGTTTTGAGAGAAACAGAGCAAGTGGAGGAGGGGCAGAGAGAGAGAGGGAGACAGAGAATCCCAAACAGGCTCTGCACTGTCAGCTTGGAGTCTTGATGTGGGGCTTGAACTCATGAAACCATGAGATCATGACCTGAGCCAAAACCAAGAGTCAGATGGTTAACAGACTGACCCACCAGGTGCCCTGAGGAGTCAGTCAGTCACTTTTGATGTCGGCTCAGGTCATGCTAGCACGGTTTGTGAGATCAAGTCCCAAGTGGGGCTCTGCTCATTCTGCTCTTACAGCATGTGGAGCCTGCTTAGGATTCTCTCTCTCTCCATCTCCACCCCTCCCCTACTCATTCTGTGGCTCTTCCCCCCTTTATCTCTCTCTCAAAATAAATAAATAAACTTAAAAAAAATAAAATCTATCCAGGATCCAACCACTTCTTACCATAAGTGGTCTTCTGCATCCACCTTTGCCCACTTCTGTCTACTTAACCCAGCTGTCAGAAAGGTCTTTTAATGACCTAGGTGCAGTCCTGTCACTTGTTTGCTCAAAATACCTATATGGTTCCCCATCTCACTGAAAATAAAACAGAAAGCTTATGAAGGGGCGTTTGGGGTCCTACCTGACATGCCCTCCAGCTTCACTCTGGTCTCAGTCACCGGTGTCTCCCTTCCTTACTCTACTCCAGTGTCACTGCCTCCTTGCTAATGTACAGGCCCCAAGGAGAGGTGTGGGTGGCCTCTGTGTGAACCACCCACCCTCCTCCTTGGGGCCTTTGCACTTGCATTTCTGCTGCCCATAATTCTCTTCCCATCCTATGGCCCAATCTCCACATAGCTTATTCTCTCTCTGCTGCAGGTCTGTGCCTTCTTTGAACAATGACTCAAAACCTTCAGGCCCTCTCATCATCACTGTTTACCTTCCCTGGCTTATTCTTAGCACTTCTCACTACTTATCATCAGTACATCTGTATTTGTGTATTACTATTTTCCCATACTGGAACATAGACTCTGATAGCAAGGACTTTATTCACTGCTTTATATCAAATGTCTAGAACAATGCCCAGTATATAGTAGGTATTTCATAAACATTTGCTGAAGGAGTTAATGAATCACTGTAACCTCTCAGAAGTCTGTACTATTGTCCCCACTGTACAGGTAAGGAAGTAAGGACCTGATATTTAAAAAGTTTATGTCAGGGGCACCTGGGTAGCTCAGCGGGTTGGACATCCTACTCTTGGTTTCAGCTCAGGTCATGATCTCAGAGTTTGTGTGTTCCAGCCCCCCATTAGGTTCCACACTGATGTGTGGGGCCTGCTTAGGATTCTCCCTCTTTTCCTCTCTCTTTGCCCCTCCTCTGCTCATGAACTCTCTCTCTCTAAATAAATCAACTGAAAAATGCTATTAAAAAACACCATTTTTAAAAAGAAAAAAGGTTTATGGGAAAGGAAGGTTGTGAATGCCGGCAACTTTTTGGAATATAGTCCTGTAGCACAGTGCACTAGAGATCTGTGTATTTAATTAAAAAAAAAAAAACTTAGCTAAATTATTCCTTAATGTAGAGCTGAAAAGGAAATGTCACTCAAAGATTCAAAGGCTTTGTAGGCCATTCTCATGCTCATCTTTAGATCACACATCTACTGTATCTACATTTGCAAAAGAGGAACAAAGTTTCTAGGGTTAGCTATCATGAATCCAAGTGATATTGCCTTTTTTTAAAAAAATATATTTTTATTTATTTCTAGGAGAGAGAGAGAGAAACAGCGTGAGCAGGGGAGGGTCAGAGAGAGAGAGGGAGTCACAGACTGAAACAGGCTCCAGGCTCTGAGCTGGCAGTCAGCACAGAGCCAGACGCGGGGCTCGAACCCACGAACCGCGAGATCATGACCTAAGAGAAAGTCAGACGCATAACCGACTAAGCCACCCAGGCGCCCCAATATTGCCTTTTTAAAAAGTAACCAAATAAAACTAATTGTTTCTATAGCAGTAATTTCCACCTTTGATTCTATAGTTATGAAAATGTTCATAATCATGTAGGTAGGATTATAGCTGCGTGAATTCATGTTAATCTAGTGTATTTCCCCTTTTTGTAGACTTCTTGAATAGAGCTACCTTACAAATGTTTTTAAAGGACTGCTTTAAAATCAAAAGCTTAAATACAACATCTGTTACATTAGAAGTTGTGTGACCTTGCCAGTCAGAGTGGCTAAAATGAGCAAATCAGAGAACTCTAGATGCTGGCGAGGATGTGGAGAAACGGGCACCCTCCTCCACTGTTGGTGGGAATGTAAACTGGTACAGCCCCTCTGGAAAACAGTGTGGAGGTTCCTCAGGAAACTAACAATAGAACTCCCTTATGACCCAGCAATAGCACTGCTAGGAATTTACCCAAGGGATACAGAAATGCTGAGGCATAGGAGCACATGTACCCCAATGTTCATAGCAGCACTCTCCACAATAGCTAAAACATGGAAAGAGCCTAAGTGTCCATCAACAGATGAATGGATCAAGAAGATGTGGTTTATCTATACCATGGAAAACTACATGGCAATGAGAAACAATGAAATCTGGCCATGTGTAGCAACATGGATGGACCTTGAGGGTGTTGTGCTGAGCGAAATAAGTCAGGCAGAGAAGGACAAATATCCTATGTTTGCACGTATAGGAGGATTAGGAGGAACTTGACGGAGGAACAAGGGGGAGAAGAAGGGCGGAAATGGTGGGGGAAAGGGAGAGAGGCAAACCATGAGAGACTCTTGAATGCTGACAAAAACTGAGGACTGATGGATGTGGGGGGAGGGGGAATGGGCATGGAGGAGGGCACTTTGGGGATGAGCACTGAGTGTTATGTGGAAACTAATTTGACAATAAACTATTTGTAAAAAAAAAAAAAAAAAAAAAAGTTGTGTGACCTTGGGCTAGTTATCTATCTTGGGTCTCCTGGCTGACTCAGTGGGTAGAGCACATGACTCTTGATCTCAGGGTCATAATTCAAGCCCCACCTTGGGTGTGGAGTTTACTTGGAAAAAAAAAAATTCCAACTTGTTTTCTAATCATTACCAAGAGTCTTAAAAGCCACCTTAGGGTTAACCGTAAGAATTAAATGAAATATATGTCACAGCCCATACCACAGGAGATACCCAATAAAACTTGCTTTTCCTCTTCTATGGAACAAAAAAACGCACACTGCAAAACTAAAAATGCTGCGTCATAACGTTAATGCATAGCAAGTTTCTGAGCTTTTTCTCAACCTCAAAATGTAACCCCCTTTGAACCTAAACAAAAATGAATCAAATGGTAAAAGGAAGTTGAAAGATGTGCCTATATTGCGAACTGCCCCTGGGAACTCGAAAAAGAGTCTCTGTTCAACCTACAAGCTGAAACCCAGGGCCACCGACTCTCTCTACCAGCTGTGGCGGCTTCCCTAGGGAAGGATGATCTACTTCCCCGTCTTGCAGTGCGGCGGCACAGTAGAGGCAAATGTCCCTTCACCGCCGCCGTAAGCGGCGAGGCCCAGGAGCGCGTTTCTATAGGCTGGGCGTGTTTGGCGCCAAAGCGGATGAGGAGGCGAGTATCCGCCCTGTAGGACCGGGAACCATAGTACCGTAGAGAGGGGGCCGTGAGCCGGGTAAACGTTTGGCGTGAAAGAGGGCAGTTGACGAAGCCACAGGACCGGGGCTTGTCCGACATGTTCTGCGAAAAGGCCATGGAGCTGGTCCGCGAGCTGCACCGCGCGCCAGAAGGGCAGCTGCCAGCCTTCAATGTAAGGGAGGACGGAGTTCACCGGGCGGGTGGTGCTGCAGGGGCGGGGTCTCGAAAGCGGCCGGCATAGGTCGCGGGGGCGGAAAGTAGACGGATCCGGCTCTCAGAGGTTCTAACCTACGTTTCGTCTGAGGGTGTACTTTCTCGTCTCCAGAGTCGGGAACAAAAATTTTGGAACACAGAAAGATAAAATATAGCAGGAAAAAGAAAGCATCCATGTTTGTGTCCCCCAGCGATTTAGCGAATTTCCTCATGAGTATATTTCCTTCAGTGTTTTTTTCCGTGTATGTCTTTATTTCTGGTTCCTGTGTTTGATCAAGCACTTCTTGGTTGCCTGATAACAATCTAGCATTTTTTGAGCACTCTGGCTAGTCCTGTAGAGCCGGACTGGGATTCTTGACATCGTCATGTGACCATGGGACACTTACTCATGCTCTCTGTACTGTCAGTTTCATCTACAAAAACGGGAAAGATGATAATAATAGTATCTAACCCTTCCTGTAGTGAGGGCTCTGCAAGTTTGTATGTGCTAGGTTCTCTGAATAGTGCCTGATACACAGGAGCAGCGAAGTCAGTGTTTGCTATTTTTTTCTTTCTACCACTCCTGCTGCTGCTACTACTAGAACAATTATTCTTATTTTTGTTATTACCCCTGATAGAGTGACAAGCCTAAGTTAATCTGTTCTCATAAGAATTCTTGGATATTTAAACAATATTTTCCAGCCATATAACAGAGGCTTGGGGGGATTTTTTTGTCCATAGCCAGTAAGATTTTAAACCCTGACAGTCTGGCTCAGGACCTACACTCTAAATTTATACCTGACTACTTCCCTTCTCATAGGGCAGCCACTATGTGGACCCTAGGGCATGTTTTGCTGGGAAAGGGGCACAAGAACGAGTAATAGAAGGCACTGTGATGACACCAGAGAGGAGCCATCAATGTTGGTGTGGGCTGAGGTAGAAGAGCAGGTGTTGGGCCTGGAAGGATGAGGTGGCTACTCTGAGAAGGAACATAGGCATAGCAGCCAAAGGACACAGCAGTGCAGAGACACATGGTCACATAGGTAGTGGTGACTGACCGGATGTGTGAAGAGGCTAGGAAGGCGGGTTCTAGGCCAGGAGATTGGGTGGTCATGCATAAAACATTTGGAAACTGGTAAAGGATTTTAGACAGGGGAGTGATAGGGCAGTTTTTAATGTTTTCAGAATAGTGATTGTAGCACTATGGGGAACAAATTGGAGACAAAGAATAGAGGCAGTGAGATGATCATGGGTGGTTATAATAGACCAGGTGAGAGCTGTGTATGATCCCCACTGTGTCTGGTCACTGGACTTGGAAATCAGCATCTGGGTTTCAGAGACAAGGCAAACAGGACTTGTAACTGTTAGGATAGGGGTGGGTAATGAAAGAGGGAGTCTCAGGGAGATTCTCTCTCAGGTACTGTACCAGATTTCAGAAGGAAGAGTGTTTGGGGAAAGGCGAGTTTTGTTTTGAACATTAAAGAGAACCTGGTCGGACATTTGGATCATTTTCCAGATGAGACTGAGCCAAGAGAATTTCTAGATCAAGTTAAGGGATTTGTCTGAACTTAGAACACAGGTTTTCTAGATTTCAGTCTGTTGTACTTTCAGGACTGTTACCTCATTTAAAAAGTGAGGAGACAACGGTGGGAGGTTCAGCAGAGATGCTGGAATGCTGAGACATGCAGACTCTTATATATGGCTGCAGTCGGATAACCAGGCCTTTTAGAGGTATTCTAACATAAGAGGAAACAAACCCAAAGAGGCAGAGACTCGTCCCACAGAAGCTGGACAGACCTTTAGTCCAGCTCTCTGTTTCACTCAAATTTTAAGTGTTGCTTTACCACTTTTGGTGGGGGGGCAGAGGGGGACCTTAGAAGTTGTAATATCCTTCCTTTTTCTTATTTTTTAAATTTATTTTTGGGAGAAAGAATTATGAGTGGGGGAGGGGCAGTGAGAGAGGGAGACAGAAGTTCCAAAGTAGGCTCAGTGCTGACAGCAAAGAGCCTGATGTGGGGCTCGAGCTCACGAACCGTGAGATCATGACCTGAGCGGAAGTTGGATGCTTCATGGACTGAGCCATGCAGGCATCCCAGATTGCTCCTTTTTCTAGGTCTTAGTTTGGCAGAGCACCTTTTGCAGCTTTTGTTCCATGTGCACCTTCCACTGACAAAGTCACTAGCTAGCCAGGTGACTCAGCAGCCTGGAAGCTGGTCACTCTTTGACACAGCCACACAGGGACAGTCCAGTCCATCTGATTGATCTGTAGGCCATAGACCCATGACCCCACTTGACCCTTCAAGAATCATTCTTTCCAGGAAGATTATAGTCACTGAGTTTAGAGCAAGGACTTTGCCTTGTTCATTGTCTCTCAATGTTAGGTACTGTGTTGAGCAAATTGAAATGATTGTCCACCTTCTATATGCAGAACTGGTAATAGTTTAAGTGAGTTTTTAGGAAAATTATCTTGGGTTTCCAGCCTGAGGTGGGAACACAAAACAGTGTAATTTTCACTATAGATTAAAAAATCTAAATCTGAAAGCATGTGTGTATTTTCCCAAAATTATTTCACACTTGTCTTTTGTATGCCTGCAGATTCTATTCATTGTACAGAAGTTTTCAGCTATTCCTGAAAATACAATTTGCTGATAAAAGGAATATTCTATAAACATTTCTATATTATTTATATTAAATATTTTTTATAAATAAAAAGTTATTTACATAATTTTGTCATGCCTAATTACTTTGTAGGACTGTTGCTTTTTTGCTGTTAGTTTTATTGAAGTAAATTTATATACAACAAGGGGCGCCTGGGTGGCTTAGTCGGTTAAGCGTCTGACTTTCGCTTAGGTCATGATCTTGCGGTTCCTGGGTTCGAGCCCCGCATCGGGCTCTGTGCTGACTGCCAGCTCAGAGCCTGGAGCCTGTTTCAGTCTGTGACTCCCTCTCTCTCTGACCCTCCCCTGCTCATGCTGTCTCTCTCTCTCTCTCTTAGAAACAAATTTAAAAAAAAATTTATATACAACAAAATACAAATTTAACAGATTTTTTTTTAGTGTTAGAAGTGTATATATCCATATAACCAGCACTGCAGTCAGAATTTCTGTCATCCTCAGGGTTCCTTTTCCCCTTTTGTAGCTTACCTAGCACCTGCAGCTTTAGTCAATCAGTGTTTTTTTTCTTCTGGATTCACTGTGTCATTCCTTTTTATGACCAAATAACATTCCATTGAATGAATATGCCATATTTGGTATGTCATCACTTAGTGGACATTTGGGTGTTTCCATTTTGGAACTGCCTTAAGTAATGCTGCTCTGGGGGCACCTGGGTGGCTCAGTTAGCATCTGACTCTTTTTTTTTTTTTTAATGTTTATTTTTGAGAAAGAGAGACAGAGCTTGAGGTGGTGAGAGGGAGGAGCAGAGAGAGAGGGAGATACAGAATCGGAAGCAGGCTCCAGGCTCTGTGCTGTCAGCACAGAGCCCAGCGTGGGGCTTGAACCCACGAGCCCTGAAATCATGACCTGAGCCGAAATCGGATGCTTAGCCGACTGAGCCACCAGGTGCTCCAAGCGTCTGACTCTTGATTTCAACTCAGGACATGATCTCTCCCTCTCCCTCTGCCCCTTTCCTGCTTGTGCATGTTTACGCTCTCTGTCTCAAAAAAAAATGCTGTTCTGAACATTTTATGTACAAGTTTTTGAATGAACATATGTTTTCAGTTCTCTTGAGTATATATTACCTAGGAGTGGAATTATTGGATGATATGGTAATTCTATGTTAAACTTTTTGAGGAGGGTGCCTGGGTGGCTCAGTTGGTTAAGCATCTGACTTCCGCTCAGGTCATGACTCACGGTTCAAGAGTTCAAGCCCCACATCAGGTGAGCTTGAGCCCTGCTTTGGGCGAACATGAACCCCTCACTGGGTGAGCCCCACTTCTCTCTCTCTCTTAAACCCTTAGAAAATTCTCTCTCTCTCTCCCTTTTTTTGTCCCTCCCTCTTGTACCATCTCTCTCTCTCTCAAAAAAAAAAAAAAACAATAAGTTTTTGAAGAACCATCAGATTGTTTTTCATAGGGCTCTACTATTTTACATTCCTATCTGTAATGCGTGAGGGTTCCAATTTCTCCTCATCCTCACTGACACTTGTTAGAGCAAGTCCTAGAGGTATGAAAAATTTTTGCTTTTTGATAAGATTTAGTATAAATCAAAGATAAACATAAGGTAATGAAATATTGCTACAGACTTAGTAGAGGAATTAATGGATATGTATCAATGTCATTTTATGTTCTAGGAGGATGGACTCAGGCAAGTTCTGGAGGAGATGAAAGCTTTGTATGAACAAAACCAGTCTGATGTGTAAGTTTTGATGAGATTGATATTTTATTATATTTTAATTAGGTTTTTATTTATTTTTTAATGGTTTCAGGAGTAGAATTTAGTGGTCATCACTTTCATATAACACCCAGTGCTCATCTCAACAAGTGCTCTCCTTAACGCCCATCACCCATTTAGCCCATTCCCCCACCCAGCACCCCTCCAGCACCCCTTAGTTTGTTTTCTGTATTTAAGAGTCTCTTATGGTTTGCCTCCCTCTCTGTTTTCCTTTGCTTTCCCTATTTTCATCTGTTTTGTTTCTTTTTTTTTTTAATGTTTTATTTATTTCTAGGAGAGAGAGACAGCATGAGCAGGGGAGGGTCAGAGAGAGAGGGAGTCACAGACTGAAACAGGCTGTGCTGACTGCCAGCTCAGAGCCCGACGCGGGGCTCGAACCCACGAACCACAAGATCATGACCTAAGCGAAAGTCGGACGCTTAACCGACTAAGCCACCCAAGCGCCCCTATACTAGTAATTTCTTAAGTCACNTGAAACAGGCTCCAGGCTCTGAGCTGGCAGTCAGCACAGAGCCCGATGCGGGGCTCGAGCCCATGAACTGCGAGATCATGACCCAAGCGAAAGTCGGACGCTTAACCGACTAAGCCACTCAGGCGCCCCTCATCTGTTTTGTTTCTTAAATTCCACATTTGAGTGAAGTCATATGATATTTATCTTTCTGACTGACTTTTTTCACTTAGCATAATACATTCCAGCTCCATCCATGTTGTTGCAAGTAGTAAGACTTCATTCCTTTTGATTCCTGAATAATATTCCAGTGTGTGTGTGTGTGTGTGTGTGTGTGTGTGTGTGTGTACATTTGGGCTCTTTCCATAATTTGGCTATTGTTGATAGTGCTGCTATAAACATTGAGGCACATATGCCCCTTTGAATCAGCATTTTTCTATTCTTTAGATAAATATCTAGTAGTACAATTGCTGGGTTTGTAGGGTAGTTCTATTTTTAATTTTTTGAGGAACCTCCCTATTGTTGTCCAGAGTGGCTGTACCAGTTTGCATTCCCATCAGGCAGTGCAAAAGTGTTCCTATTTCTCTGCATCCTCACCAGTATCTGTTGTTTTCCTGATTTGTTCATTTTAGCAATTCTGACAGGTGTGAGTTGGTACCTCATTGTGGTTTTGATTTGTATTTCCCTGATGAGTGATGTTGAGCATCTTTTCATGTGTCTGTTTGCCATAAGGGTGTCTTTCTATTCATGTCTTCTGCCCATTTCTTCACTGGATTATTTGCTTTTGGGTGTTGAGTTTGATATGTTCTTTATTTTTTTAATTAAAAAATTTTTTTTCAGGGGCGCCTGGGTGGCTTAGTCGGTTAAGCGTCCGACTTTCGCTTAGGTCATGATCTCGCGGTTCGTGGGTTCGAGCCCCGCGTCGGGCTCTGTGCTGACTGCCAGCTCGGAGCCTGGAGCCTGTTTCAGTCTATGACTCCCTCTCTCTCTGACCCTCCCCTGCTCACGCTGTCTCTCTCTCTCTCTCCTAGAAATAAATAAAACATTAAAAAAAAATTAAAAAAAAATTTTTTTTTTCAGTTTACTTATTCATTTTGAGAGAGACAGAGTGACTGAGCAAGTGAGGGGCAGAGAGAGAGGAAGAGGGAATCCCAAACAGACTCCTCACTGTCAGCTTTGAGCCTGATGTGGGGCTCGAACTCACAAAATGTGAGATCATGACCTGAGCCAAAACTGAGAGTTGGATGCTTAACTGACTGAGCCACTTAGGCGCCCCTATTTTGATATATTCTTTATACATTTTGGGAACTAACCATTTATCTGATACGTCATTTGCAAATACCTTCTCCCATTCCATCCGCTGCCTTTTTGTTTTGTTAGTTATTTCCTTTGCTGTGCAGAAGACTTTTATCTTGATGAGGTCTGAGTAGTTCATTTTTTTGTTTGTTTGTTTCCCTTGCCTCTGGAGACATGTCTAGTAAGAAGTTGCTGTGGCCAAGGTCAAAGAGATTGTTGCCTGTTTTCTCCTCTAGGATTTTGATGGTTTCCTATTCTACATTTAGATCTTTCATCCATTTTGAGTTTATTTTTGTGTATGATGTAAGAAAGTGGTCCAGTTCATTTGTCTGCTTGTCACTGTCCAGTTTTCCCAGCACCATTTGCTGAAGAGTGTCTTTTTTCCACTTGATATTCTTTCCTGCTTTGTTGAAGATTAGTTGGCCATACATTTGTGGATCTATCTCTGGGTTCTCTATCCTGTTCCATTGATCTGAGTGTCTGTTTTTGTGCCAGTATCATGATGTCTTGATGATTGCAGTTCTGTAACACAGCTTGAAGTCTGGGATTGTGATGCCTCCAGCTTTGGTTTTTTCAACATTACTTTGGCTACTTGAGGTCTTTTCTGGTTCCATACAAATTTTAGGATTGTTTCTTCTAGCATTGTGAAGAATGCTGGTGTTGTTTTGATAGGGATTGCATTGAATATGCAGTTTGCTTTGGGTAGTATGCACATTTTAACAGTATTTGTTCTTCCAAACCATGAGCATGAAATGTTTTGTTTTGTTTTTTTCCATTTCTTTGTGTCCTCTTCATTTTCTTTCATAAGCTTTCTATAACTTTCAGTGTACAGGTCTTTTTCCTCTTTGGTTAGATTTATTTCTAGATATTTTATGGGTTTTGGTGCAATTGTAAATGGGATTGATTTCTTGATTTCTCTTTCTGCTGCTTCATTATTGGTGTATAGAAATGCAACTGATTTCTGTACATTAATTTTATACCCTGTGACGTTGCTGAATTCATGGATCAGTTCTAGCAGTTTTCTGATAGAGTCTTTCAGGTTTTTTGCGTACATTATCATGTTATCTGTGAAGACTGATAGTTTGACTTCTTCCTTACTGATTTGGATGCCTTTTATTTCTTTCTGTTGTCTGATTGCTAAGTCTAGGCCTCCCAACACTTTTATTGAACAACAGTGGTGAGAGTGTACATTCCTGTCATGTTCCTAACCTTAGGAGGAAAGCTCTGTTTTCCCCTATTGAGGATGGTATTAGCTGTGGGTCTTTTGTATATGAACTTTATGATCTTGAAGTATGATTCCTCTGTCCCTACTTTCACGAGGGTATTTATCAAGAAAGGATGTGGGGCGCCTGGGTGGCTTAGTCGGTTAAGCGTCCGACTTTCGCTTGGGTCATGATCTCGCGGTTCGTGGGTTCGAGCCCCGCGTCGGACTCTGTGCTGACTGCCAGCTCAGAGCCTGGAGCCTGTTTCAGTCTGTGACTCCCTCTCTCTCTGACCCTCCCCTGCTCACGCTGTCTCTCTCTCTCTCTCCTAGAAATAAATAAATAAAACATTTAAAAAAAAGAAAAAAAAGAAAGGATGCTGTATTTTGTCAAATGCATTTTCTGTATCTATAGAGAGGATCATGTGATTCTTATCCTTTCTTTTATTTTATTTTATTTATTTTTTTAAATGTTTTATTTATTTCTAGGAGAGAGAGAGACAGCATGAGCAGGGGAGGGTCAGAGTGAGAGGGAGTCACAGACTGAAACAGGCTCCAGGCTCCGAGCTGGCAGTCGGCACAGAGCCTGATGCGGGGCTCGAACCCACGAACCGCAAGATCATGACCTAAGTGAAAGTAGGACGCTTAACCAACTAAGCCACCCAGGCGCCCCTATCCTTTCTTTTATTAATGTGCTGTATCACATTCATTTTTTAGTGGATCTTGAACCAGTCCTGCAGCCCAGGAATAAACCCTACTTGATTGTGATGAATAATTCTTTTAATGTATTATTGGATTTGGTTTGCTAGTATCTTGGTTTTGCATCCATGTTCATCAGAGAAATTGGTCAGTAGTTCTCTCTTTTTGTCTCGTTTTGAAATCAGTGTAATGCTGGCCTCATAGAATGAGTTTGGAAGTTCTCCTTCCACCTCTTTTTTTTGGAGCAGCTTCAAGAGAATAAATGGTAGAATCAATGTTCTTTAAATGTCTGTTAGAATTCCCCTGGAAAGCCATCCAGTCCTGGACTCTTGTTTGTTGGATTCAATTTCTTTACTGGGTATGGGTCTGTTCAAATGTTCTATTTTTTCCTTTTTCAGTTTTGGTAATTTATATGTTTCTAGGAATTTGCCCATTTTTTCCAGATTGCCCAATTTGTTGGCATATAATTGTGCATAATATTCTCTTATTAATGTTTGTACCTCTGCAGTGTTAGTTGTGATCTCTCCTCTTTCATTTATGATTTACTTGGGTCCTTTTTCTTTTTGATAAATCTAGCTATGGGTTTATCAATTTTGTTAATTCTTTAAAAGAACTAGCTCCTGGTTTCATTGATCTGTTCTATTGTTTTTTTTATTTTGAGATCATGGATTTCTGCTCTAATCTTTATTATTTCTCTTCTGCTAGTTTTGGGTTTTATTTGCTGTTCTTTATCCATCTCCTTTAGGTGTGAGGTTAGGTTGTGTATTTGAGACATTTTTTTCCGTCTTTAGGAAGGTCTGGATTAGTACATACTTCCCTCTTAATTTTGTTATATACTTCCCTCTCGGGTTTTTTTTTTCCTGTTTTTTAATGGTAAAATACAAATAACAGAGTTTGCCATCTTAACCATTTTAGTGCACAATTCAGTAGTAGTAAATATGTGCATAGTGTTACACAGCTATCCACACCATCCATCCTCATAACCCTCATCCTGTAATACTGAAACTCTGTGCCCATTAATTAATTGTACATCTGGTTTTTAAATGTGATACTTGTCTAATATCTAAGGGGATGTAAATTTTATAGGGTAAAACCAAAATTTTTCCTTCTCTGCAGAACACTGCAGTATAGGACACGCACATAGTTGAAGATCAATAAATATTTGTGGGATGAGTGAAGGACCATTTTGACTCCATTTTAACTCACTTTATTACAAGCATTTGGAAGAGTAGTTCCTTTTAAAATAAAAAAACGTGATAAAAGACCATAATCTTCTGAACCATAATGTTTAGATTTGTCTTTTATCCTAGCACGATAAAGGAATTCCAGAAGGTGAATTAACACCGTGTCCTTTGAAAATAATGGAGATTAATCAGTGTGCAAAAATGTAAAATACCAAATTGTTAAATGCGGATATTCTGATCTTAATTAGTTCACTTTGGCTTTTTTCTTTTAACATAATAAAAGCTCTGATGTGGAGGCAGGTACTATTTGATTACATTAACTGCATTATTACATAAATGGGCAAAAACAAACATGGAAATCCTTTCTTTGTTGGCTTTGAAAATGTTACTTATGCTAAAATATACACCTTTGTTCTTTTCTTTTTCTTTATTTTTAATGTTCTTTTTTTCTTTAAATGTTCTTACCAGGAATGAAGTGAAGTCAGGTGGACAAAGTGATTTGATACCAACCATCAAATTTCGACACTGTTCCTTGTTAAGAAATCGACGCTGTACCGTAGCATACCTGTAAGCTCCTCAGTTTTTGCTTGGGGTAGCAGGGAACAATGGAGGGCTTTGCATGTGGTTTCCTAATTAACCATTTTGAATGTATAACAAATTCTTAGATTTGTTTTTCCTGTGTAAGCATTCTAAATACTTGTCTTTTTTCCATTATTTGTTTTATCATGAAAAATGCAGTATTCATAAAACTAGGGAGAATATTATGAGCTTACCCCTTGGGAGCCATCATCTAGGTTTAACAGTTTTTAACATTTTTCCATATCTGCTTCATCTTGTTTTATTTATGCTAAATTAATCTAGAACATCATGGCATTTTACCACTAAATATTTTAGTATCCATCTCTAAGAAATAAGATCTTTTTTGGAACTTTTTTCACCTGACCACTGTGCCTTTCTGAAACATTGAGAAATGAAGAAGACTTCACCACACCTATCCTGTCCATATTTGTGTATCCCTATTGTCCCAAAGTTGTCTTCTTACACTTATGTGGTCTCATATCTTCTTCTTGTCCTAGGTATGATCGACTGCTTCGGATCAGAGCACTCAGGTGGGAGTATGGCAGCATCTTGCCAAATGCTTTACGATTTCACATGTCTGCTGAAGAAGTGAGTTAGCACTGTTGTTCACGTTTCTGAGTCTGGAAGATGCTGGATCTGGCATTGTCCTGTGATATTACAGTATTTCTCTTTGTGTTTAACATCTGGTTTTCAGCAGTTTTTAGCTTGTATTTATTTGGTATATACTATGATGAGAATGGTGGGAGTAATTCTAAATGCTATGTGGAAACCTCTGTTATTGACAAAGTAAAAGGTCCCATTATGTTACTTATTAGTGATACATCAGTAGGATTAAAAAACTGGCATTTTTATTTAGGTGTGTGCGTGCATGTGTGCGTGCATGTGTACCACATGCACATGCACTTTCCTGGTCAACGTGAATACTCTTTATTTGTCCAGTCACTAAGACACAGAGCTAGCCCAGCATTTAAGGACATGGGACTAGAGTCAAGTAAACTTGAGTCCAGACATTGTCTCTCTCACTGTCTAATGTTGGACAAGTTACTTGAGTTTTCTGTATGCCTGAATTCCCTCATTTACAAAATGAAGATGATATACCTTTAGCAGGTTTGCAGTGGCTTTTGACACTAACTGCACAGAGTTAGACTGAATATGACGGTCTAAGACTGCCCTTTGCAGACACTTGCCACAGGTTTTGGGTGTTTCGAGGGCCACCCTCTAACTGGCTACAAATTCAGAGTTCCTACTGTCTCCTTTGGTTTGGGACTTTGAATCTCTTGATGTCAGTACAACTTCCAGAGAGAAGAGGGGAGTTAAGAGATGGAGCTCTGTCACATGGGTAGTAATTCAAGCAATGGTGCTTATGTAATGAAACCCCAGTAAAAATTCTGGACACCAAAGCTTGTATGAGCCTCCCTGGTTGATAGTGCTTTGTGTGTACTGTTACACATCATTGTGCCAGGAGTGTGATGTTTCATGATTCTGTAGGGATAGGACACTAGAGCTTTGCTCACTCTGAGGGAGTAAGAATGTCCTGTCCTCTTCAAGGTCCTTCTAGCTGGACTGAGTCAAATTAACTTGAGACAGATTAACAAGAGAAAATCAAATTTAACTTCATAAATGCAGGGAATCCACACAGACATGGAAATTCCAAAGACAGGCAAAATGAGGTTATATGTGTGTGTGTGTTTTTTAAAGTAAGGTCTGTGCCTAGTGTGGGTCTTGAACTCAAGACTTTGAGATCAAGAGTCACATGCTCTACTGGTTGAGCCAACCAGGCATCACAAGGGTTAGGGGTTTAGGACTTCAAAGGTAAAGAATGTAATCCTCAGGAAGAATGAAAAAGAACAGATGTTTAGTAAACAGATTTTTGTTGGGCCCACAGAAACAATGAGACAAAGAGAGGACTTGCATCAAAATGTCCTTCCTAAGTTCTTCCTTGTCTACCGTACCTTGTTCACAGCATAAGATAGTTGTCTGTGGTGATAGCTCTCTTCCTAGAGCAGGTCCTCTATCCAGACTTTTTTTAAGGTGGTTGTAGGGGAGGTAAAGAGCTTTTCCTGATCTGCTGGGTTTTTGTGTTTTTTCTTTTTTTGAAAAAAAATTTTTAATGTTTATTTTTGAGAGAGAGACAGAGCATGAACAAGGGAGGAGTAGAGAGAGTGGGAAACACGGAATCCAAAGCAGGCTCCAGGCTCTGAGCTGTCAGCATAGAGCCCAGTGTGGGGCTTGAACTCAGGAACTGTGAGATCATGACCTGAGCTGAAGTCCAGACTCTTAACCAACTAAGCCACCCAGGCACCCCTGAATCTGCTGGGTTTTAGTTGCTTTTTAACTCAAAATAGTCTTCATGCCAAAGTGGCCCATTTTAGGGTGACCTACCCTTGGCCCCTGTAGTACCCTCCCAGAAATCACTCTGTTTTCTTCCTTTGGCTGGTTCTGATTGTTATCCCTTCAGCTGTGGTAAAATTGTGATTATAAGTGTAGTGCTTGTGATTATAAGTGTAGTGCTTTCTATAGTTTTGTGAGTCATTCAGGTGCATTACTGAACCTGAGGGTGCATGCATGTGTACACACACACGCATACACACACACACACACACACACACACACTTTCTAATAAGGGTTATGAAGCTGTTTATGTACTCTCTTCAGAGCTGTATTGTTTTACCTTTCACAAGGACATCTACAGTAGTGGCATTGAATTTTGTATATAATGTTAAAAGTCAGCTTTCATTTTGAATATAGATACTGAGATGACCCAGCACCATGTAATTGGAAAGGAGGATCTCCTTTCCCCATTGCTCTGTGCATGGTACCACTTTTTTCATAAAGTGAGTGTCAGAATATCTGGGGATTTGGGATAAGAGACTTTTCTCTTGTGTTCTTTTAATCTATTTGTCCTTACACGAATTCTGTATTTAGCTTTATAATAAGTCTTGAGCAAGCATTCCCATCTTGTTCTTCTTTTTCAAATGTCTCAACTGTTTTGGACCCTTTGAATTTCCATGTAAATTTTAGATTCAATTTGTCAGGTTCTTTTTTTTTAATGAGATTTTGATTGAGAATGAATTAAATACCTAAATGAGTTGATTTTATAATACTGAATCGTGAATGTGGTAATCCCTCCATATATTTAGGTCTTTAATATGTTTTAACAATGAAAAAATTAACAGATTTACTGAGGTATAATTTACATACCATAAAGTTTACTCTTTTAAAGTATACAATTCAATGTTTCTTAGTACATTCAGAGTTGTGAATCTACTATCACCATCTAATTCCAGGACATTTTCATTACCCCCAAAAGAAACTGTGTATCCATTATTTCATGTCCTCTCCCCTCTTCCCAGCCCCTGGAGATTACTAATCTTTCTCTATAGATTTGCCTACTATGGACTTTTCATATAAGTGGAATCACGTAATAGGTGGCCTTTTGTGCCTTTCAGTTACCACGTTTTTAAGGTTATCTGTGTGCTGACACTATCAGAACTCTGATGTATGGCTGCGTAATATTCTGTTGTGCAGATATACATATCTACTCATCAGTGATAGACACTTGGGTATTTTTCTCAGCAGGGTTTTATAGTTTTCAGAAAAACCATCAATGCAATTTGGAGAGATCATATTTCTGAAATGGTATATTTTTCATGGTTCTGCTTCTGGTAGAATGTTCCTTAGGTCTCTGATTAAGTATGCTGGCATATAAGTTCTGTGAGAAAGGAGATTTTTGTTCATTTTGTTAAATGATCCATCCTAAATACCCAGAACAGGTCCTGGTTCACAGCAGGCAGTCAGTAATACTTGTATTTTAAATAATGAATTGTCACTAATGATCCACGTGGGGAAATGTGCTATTTATAAAAGGATGAACAGACAGTTTTTGCAGGTTTCTTTTCTTATAAATTTGTCAAATGACCATCTCTATGTTTGCAGATGGAGTGGTTCAATCATTATAAAAAGTCTCTTGCGATTTATATGAGGTCACTAGGAGGAGATGGAGGTTTGGACATCACACAAGATATGAAACCTCCAAAAAGCCTATATATAGAAGTAAGTATATCTTTTAAAATGGATTTTTCTTTAATGAATAGATTATGCTGACTTTTATCTAAGAAGAGGGGTGTATATGAATATTTATTAATTTAAATGAAAACAGAAGGGAAACCAAACCGAAAATGTTACCTGTAGGGGGATGGTGGAAATACAGTAGAATAGTGAAAACTTTCTGAACATACCTATTTTCAGAATGTTAACTTTGGAAACATATAAATGTTTTACATATTAAAAAATTAAAGTAGAAAACCAACCTACAGATTTTGAAAACAGAACAAAACAAATGAACCTGTGTTTCAAGTTGGTAGATTAGTCAAACAGGAATATTTTAGTGTTTTTTTAAAAGTTTATTTATTTTGAGAGAGAGTCTTTAGCAGGCTCCATACCTGCCAGCATAGAGCCCAATGCAGGACTCAATCTCATGAACTGTGAGATCATGACCTGAACCAAAATCAAGAGTCAGACACTTAACTGATTATCTCAGTCACCCAAGCACTCCCCCAGTGTATGTGTTCTAAGGATGAAAAGAATTACAGGAGTGCCTGGGTGGCTCAATCAGTTATGCTTTGGACTTTGGCTCAGGTCATGATCTCACAGTTCACAAGTTTGAGCTCTGCATTGGTTCTGTGCTGTTAGCTTCTGATATTCTGTCTTCCTCTCTCTGTCCCTTTCCTGCATGGTGCATGCAAGTGCATGTGCATTTTCTCTCTCTCTCTCAAAAATAAACATTAAAAAAAAAAAAAGATGAAAGCATTAAAAAAATTTTTAGAACCATTATTTTTATTTATTTATTTATTTATTTCTTAAATAGTTTATTGTCAAGTTGGTTTCCATATAACACCCAGTACTCATCCCCACAACTGCCTTCGTCCATGCCCATTACCTCCCTACCCCTCCCCCCCACCTCATCAGTCCTCAGTTTTAGAACCATTAATTTTTTTTTAAATTTTAATTTATTTCTAGGAGAGAGAGAGAGACAGTGTGAGCAAGGGAGGGTCAGAGAGAGAGGGAGTCACAGAATCCGAAACAGGCTCTGAGCTGGCAATCAGCACAGAGCCCGATGCGGGGCTCGAACCCACGAACCGCGAGATCATGACCTAAGCGAAAGTTGGACGCTTAACCGACTAAGCCACCCAGGCGCCCCTAGAACCATTATTTTTAAAAAACTGGGGCACCTGGGTGACTCAGTCAGTTAAGCATCCAACTTCAGCTCAGTTCATGATATCATGGTTCATGGGTTCAAGCCCCCTGTTGGGCTCTCTGCTGATAGCTCAGAGTCTGGAGCCTGCTTAGGATTCTGTGTCTCCCTCTCTCTCTTTGCCCCTTCCCTGCTTGTGCTGTGTCATTCTCTCTCTCTCTAAAATAAACATTAAAAAAAAGATGAAAAGAATTACAAAGAAATTTTTATTAGTAATGCATTACTGTTCTTTTGAAACAGTTTATATATTGACATAACCAAGCAAAAAAGTAATGGCACCAATAGCTAAAATTTTCTTCTTTCTTTTCTTTTATTAGTTTCTTTTCTTTTTATTTTTTTAATATAATTTATTGTCAAGTTAACATACAGTGTATACAGTGTGCTCTTGGTTTCGAGGATAATAAATTCCCATGATTCATTGCTTACATACAATACCGAGTGTTTTTCCCAGCTCATGCCCTCCTCAATGCCCATTACCCATTTTCCCTCTCCTCCACCTCCCTCCCTCAAACCCTCAGTTTGTTCTCTGTATTTAAGAGTCTCTTATGGTTTGCCTCCCTCTCTGAAACTATTTTCCCCCATGGTCTTCTGGTAAATTTTTCAGGTTCCACATATGAGTGAAAACATACATCTGTCTTTCTCTGATTGACTTATTTCACTTTGCATAATACCATTCAGTTCCATCCACATTGATGCAAATGGCAGGATTTTATTCTTTCTCATTGCCAAGTAGTATTCCGTTATATATGTAAACTACATCTTCTATCAATTGATGGACATATGGACATTTGAGCTTTTTCCATAATTTGGCTTTTGTCGAAAGCACTGCTGTAAACATTGGGATACATGTTTCCCTATGAATCAGCACTCCTGTATCCTTTGGATAATCCTAGTTAGTGCAATTGCTGGGTTATAGGATAGTTCTATTTTTAATTTTTTGAGGAACCTCCATACTGTTTTCCAGAAAGCTATACTAGTTTGCATTCCTACCAACAATACAAGAGGGTTCCCATTTCTCCACATCCTTGCCAGCATCTGTTGTTTCCTGAACTGTGAATTTTAGCCACTCTGACTGGTGTGAGGTGGTATCTCAGTGTGGTTTTGATTTTGACCATCACCTAGATGATCAGTTGTGTTTCCCTGATATTGAGTGATGTTGAGCATCTATTCATGTGTCTGTTAGACATCTGGAATGATGTCTAAGCTTTTCTTCTTTGGAAAAATGTCTATTCATGTCTTTTGCCCATTTCTTCACTGGGTTGTTTATTTCTCAGGCGTTGAGTTTGGTTAAGTTCTTTATAGATTTAGGATAATAACCCTTTATCTGATATGTCATTTGCAAGTACCTTCTCCCATTTTGTTGGTTGCCTTTTAGCTTTGTTGATTGTTTCCTTTGTGGTGCAGAAGCTTTTTATCTTGATGTTGTCCCAATAGTTCAATTTTGCTTTTATTTCAACCTTGCATTTGGAGACGTGTTGAGCAAGAAATTGCTGCAGCTGAGGTCAAAGAGAAGATTTTCAAAATAAGAAAAAAGAGAAACAAATATTAAAATGAAAAAATTAAGTGAAAATTTTGTATTGCCAAACTGGGGTTTGAAATATCAGCATGGACTCATTTTGAATTATCTCTGTTTTTAAAAAAGTGTTTCTTAGGTCTGTGCACTGGAAAGACCTAAAAACAACAACCAACCCAGTGCAATGAACATCTAAATTCTGGAGTCTAAGTGCCGTTTCCCACTAAAGGAAACCAGACTTAATGGGGGGAGGTGCAGGGTGGGAGGAAGGCAGGAAAGGCTGATTCCAGGGTCTTACATAAAAGCACAAGCTGCACATGGAATACTTTGTCTTCATAGAAAGCAGAGTGTATCAAGGATTCCAAGGGGAGTGCTAAAACCATGGGAGCCAATTTAAAGGTGCTCTCATTGGCCAAAGAAGGAATAATCTGAGCCTCAAAATTACTAACTTCAGTGAATTGCATCACATCAGTTATGTTAGAAGCATGATGATATCGAATAACAATAACAGTAATTTGAAAAATAACATCTTTTTGTTCCCCTTTAGAGAATATGAGGGATTCAGCTCATTTTGAAAAGTGGTAAATAGGGGCGTCTGGGTGTTTCAGTAGGTTAACCTTCTGACTTTGCCTCAGGTCGTGATCTCACGGTTATGTGTTCAAGCCCCGTGTCAGGCTCTGTGCTGACAGCTCAGAGCCTGGAGCCTGCTTCAAATTCTGTGTCTCCCTCTCTCTCTGCCCCTACCCAGCTCACTCTCTTTCTTTCTCTCAAATAAATATTTTTTTCAAAATTAAAAAAAAGTGGTAAATAAAAGAATGGGATCAACCATCTCTGTCATCTATCAGTCTGTCAGCCTTTACTGTACAAGTTCTGCCTCAGGGTAGCCAAATCGCCAAATTGTTTACAAGGGAAGTTTCTTTCTTCCTTCCTTCCTTCCTTCTTTCCTTCCTTTTTTTTTTTTTTTTTTTTTTTTTTTTTTTTTTTTTTTTTTTTNTTTTTTTTTAAGATTTTATTTTTTAAGTAATCACTATACCCAGAGTGCCTGGGTGGCTCAGTCAGTTAAGTGTCCAACTTCAGCTCAGGTCATGATCTCATGGTTTGTGAGTTCGAGCCCCACTTTGGTCTCTGTGCTAACAGCTCAGTACCTGGAGCCTGCTTTGGATTTTGTGTTTCTCTTTCTTTCTTCCTCTCCTCTGCTCATGCTCTGTCTCAAAAATAAACAAACATTTTTAAAAAATTAAATTAAAAAAAAATCTCAGTACCCAACATGGAGCTCAAACTTAAACCCCAAGATCGAGAGTTATATGTTCTACCAAGTAAGCCACCCAGGTAGCCTGGGGAATTTCTTCTTCATAGAATTCTGGCTAATAAATACAGCAGAAGTAAAAGAACTACATTAATGCCATTTTGTAGCCCTAATGTGTGGAGGCAAATACCTTCTAAAAACTGGTAGGTGAAAAGCTAGTAGAGATGATAATGATGAATATGGATGAATATAGGTAATACCTACACCCACTGATCAATCTTAACATCCAGGAAGGAACAGCCAGATGTTTTGTGCTTTGTGAGGTCTTACAAGAAATGCTTAATAACATCATTTGCCGGAATATCAAACCTGATCTAATCCAACCTCTACACCTAACTTCCAGTTTAGAGGAAATTCAGGGACAGAAGAACATGTTAAGTGACCCCACAAGGATCCACAACAAAATCTAGCTTTTGGGAAATTACTAAACAAACTACCTAGTTACTTTAACAAATAAATTGCCAGGAGGAGGAAGGAAAAGGGGAAGAACTGTATAGATTAAAAGACGTGGAGACGTGAAATGTGTAGCTCTTGTTGGATTCTGATTTGAACATGGCAGCTTTTAAAAAAGTTCATGAGTCAAATGGGGAAATTTGGATACAAACTGGATATTTCATGATACGAAAATTATTAATGAGCACATAGATGGATCAGTTGATTAAGCATCTGACTCTTGATCTTGGCTCAGGTCATGATCTCACTCTTGGTGGGAATGAGCCCCTTGTCAGGGATTTGAGCTGACAGTGGGGAGCCTGCTTAGGATTCTCTCTCTCCCTCTCTCTGCCCCTCCTCCACTTCAGGCACGCATATGTGTGCCTGTGCTCTTTCTCTCAAAATAAATAAGTACACATTTTAAAAAAATTTTTAATAAGATGTGATAATGATATTGAGATTTTTTAAAAAAAGAATCTTACACCTGAAACCAATACAACACTGTATGTTAACTGGAACTAAAATTAAAACAAAAAAATTTTCAGTGA